GAAATGATATACTTTTGGCCTTTGCTTCAACACAACTATAACAGGGCAAAGCATTAGAGAAAACAACCGATTTATTACCAAGCAACTGTTGTTTAAACATCAACTGTAAACGACTTGAGTTTGGGTGACCTAACCGATTATGCCAAAGACTCCAAGCACTATCCGACTGACTAGAAAAAACAATAGGAGGACTCGAGAGAGATTTAGGCCGAGACACACTAGACACCTGGGGTAAAGACAATGACGCAGAAACGATGGACATCCTCGACTCGAGAGCTCCTCTAATGTAAAGGTGCGACCCTTCTTACTCCCTCTTCCGATCAGCCTCCCCGTCGTCAGATCCTGCACAAAACACCCAGATGGTGCGAACAAAACCGAGCAGTTATCATCAATTAACTGTCCCACTGAAACGAGATTAGGGTGAAGTTTAGGAACATGAAGCACATCATTTAATTTCACTTGCGGCTGATGAACAGACCCAACACCTGTAACTGAAATATGCTCCCCGTTGGCCACTTGTAGTCGTAGATTGTTAACCGGTTGAACATGACGTAGAGATAATGACTCACTGGTCATATGATTAAAACAAGCAGAGTATAGGAGCCAAGGTTTAGCTTTACCTGAGACTTGAAGAGCTGCAAAGGCTGTGTTAATGGCGACAGGGAGAGACTTTTGAAGCGCGGAGTAAATGAGCTTCTCGACAGCATCCGCGGAAAGGGCAGGAGAGGCAGGCTCCGCCGGCTGAACAGCAAAGGAGTTCGGGGCTGGACGAGATTGAGCAGACTCAGTGCGACCAGATTGCGCTTCTTGCATTGCTTTTGCACATGTCCCTTCTCGTCGCAGAAGCTACAGGTCAGCTCCGTTGATGGAGCCCGCCGCTGAAACTGAGGTCGAGTAGCAGCGTAAGCTGTGGTGTCGTAAGGAGCATGAGCTTCAGCCGAGAACACGGCCTCACTAGCTCCAGGTCGGATGTCGAGCTTCTCTTGGGTCCGAAGGCGAGTTTCTTCTTGCAGCAGGAGGCCGACAACTCCATCAAACTTGAGATCATCACGGTTGAGCAGATTGGAGCGAACAGATTCAAACTCAGGTCTGAGTTTCATCAGGAAGCGAAGCAGCCTGGATCGGTTTCGTTCAGCACGTACGTCTTCCGAAATTGCGGCAGAGCGCAAAGATGCTAACAGGAGGTCTTCCTCAGTCCAAACCGGACCGATGTGTTGTAATAAGTTGCAATGTCCATATCGCCTTGCCTCAAGGCGGCCAGTTCAGTTTCAATCTCAAATTGGCGAGCAGTGTTGGAGGTGGTGTACGTCGCGCGGAGATGGGACCACATCTCAGCTGCGGTGGTGAACAAACGGAGAACCAGCACGATGGAAGGGTCGATTGATCCCAAAAGCCAGGTTTTCACCCTTGCGTTATTCATATTCCAGCGCTCCACAGCCTGTTCAGAAGCTGGAGGGACGATCGGCTGCGGAGATGTTCCTTCAAGGATCGGGAGGAGACCCTTGCCTTCAACAAAGATGCGGAATTGAAACTCCCACACCGCATAGTTCTTCAAATCAAGACGAATACCGAGGCGATCAGAATCGCTGGCAGATGGCTCTGATACCATGTTAGACATATCGAAAGTGAAACGAAATACGATGAGACACAGATTTACGTGGTATCCCTGAAATATTCAGGACTAATCCACGGGAGAGCTTTAACACTCTCCGAGCTATCGTCTGTAATTCCTTAACCCGTCCAAGAGATACAACTTACAATATATACTGCCAAGCTAGGAGAAAAACCCTACTCGGCCAAACCTATTCCTCCGTACACCCTCAACAATAAAGGCCCAATGACTAACGTGGGTTCTGCATGTACATGGGCCAATAGTGTGGGCTAATATATGCTCTAACAAGTGACTGAGAACTTGTGTCGAGCCCTCTCAGAAACTATGAGGGAGGTGCTGAGACAGATTCTCGTTGTGATTAAGATAGAATGGGTTGTCAAACTTGATCTCACCTCTGCCACTATGCATCTAATTCTCAGTGTAGCTACCGAATTGGAAAGCTCTGCCAAAAGAAGTACCACTACTGGTAGATGGAGTAGTAGGACATCTGATACCATTTAGAAATATCTAGAGAGGCAAATGTTTAACCGAAAAACCGCAAAAACAACGAGCTGCAAGGTTCTTCTTATTTATACTCAGTGTCAAATTTTACTGTGTCCAACGGTAAAATAAACAGAAATATATATTCACCTTGACACGTAGTGAGTAATAAAACGCAAAGGATAAAACTAACTCTGCTAACTCTAATACGACGATGCGTTCAGGTGAATGCTCGAAACGTTTCCCATACAACGAATCGTATTCAAGCCTTAGATGCGTTTCACTGTCTTCTTCAAGCTGAAGCTCGATGTGCCCATTCCAACTCTACATCAGCTGCTTCACATTCATGGACCTCTGCTCCATCTTCTTTATCTTCTTGACAAGTCGTACGACTCCCAAGCCGCGAACTCGAACCGGTGCATGCCGTCGCCGTTGTCGTTGGAGTCGCTAGCGACCCCATTGATGTCGTCGTTGTAGCCCTGGTTGAAGAATGTCCACACGTGGCACTTGGTCTAGCGTGCAGGAGTCCGACCGTGTTGGGCTCGCCCTGCGGGAAGATGGGCCGGAAGAGGGTGGAGGTGGACCGGGCCCGTGTTCTCGTCCCGGCCCGTTGGTTGTGGCGGACATCCAGGATACGCCGTACTTGTTCTCCAAGCTGCACGAAATTGTTGTTGTGGCAGGCAGCAGCGGAGGTAGATCACCTGTGCCGGGCCGGATCCGGACGGGACGGCCTCCAGCTTCACGAACAGGCTGAGCGGGGTCCAGGTGTCGTTTGGAGCCCAGGCCGTTAACATACGGCCCGAAGGAGTCGTCGTTCTAGTTGGTAGTGCACAGGTATTTCCCGTCAGACTTGGATTTCAGTACCACGAATTTCGGCAATCCAGCAACCATCGACATCTCTCTCTCGGTCTCCAATGGATGGATTGCTTTCTCTTTCTTACAACTTCTCGAGAAGAGACTTTTTCTGTGTCGAGGACGGCTTGAGTTCAAGTCCTTAAGCCTCATTTCTTATGACGAATCTTAAAACCTTCTTATTGGAAGATAGCGGATTAGGTAGTTAATGGGGGTTAGTAGCTAATAGGTAGTTAAGAGTAAATGGGGTTATGCAAATATAATTAATTAATGATTCTCTTTCTCTCTCCTCCCATGATTTTTTCCATAACCCTCTCTCTACATTAAAATTAAAAAGGAATATGAAATTAATTTTATTTAATATTTAATAAAATCCGAATTTAATAATTTTCTTTTTCTAAAATGGAAATTTGTAATTTAAAATATATATCTCTCTCACATCTTGGCAACTTCTGATTAGTATTAACATTTTGTAATGACATTATCAATATTTATAAATTGAATCATCATTAGGGCTATTCGTTGCATGGGTTTAGGATTTTTCGTTGTTAGGTATTCGTTTGTGTTATTATTAATGTTGTTCGACATGTTCTTTAATAATTTTATTTGACATTATTAACTTTTTATGTATATGTTTTGTTTGTAACATTAGCAAAAGTGAAATTGTGTTTTCAATTTTTTGGTACTTGAAGTTTATTTACTATTACATCGTATTATCAATTTGGTTCGCAATGATTTGTAATCATTTGAAGTGCTATTATCAATATTTTTTTCTAAGCACAATACAACCATTAGCAAAATTTTATTTCATTTGTAACATTGCTTATGTTTAGTGATTTGAATTATTAATAGTTTTTTTGTTTATGTTTGTAACTTTGTCAAATGTCATTATCAAGAAGCATACTTGTTAGGTATTCGTTTGTTTATGACATTAGCAAAAGTGAATTTACGTTTAATGATATAACTATGGTTATTAATCTTTCAGTCTAAGTTAGTAACATAGTTGGTATCGTTATTAATAGGTGTGTATAGGCATTATCAATGATTGAAAAATAAGATATTAATAATATCTAGTAAGGTACTTAACAATCATTAGTTGCTATCATTATCAAAATTTTTTGGATGCATTATCCATGAAACACATGTTACTTATTAATGCGTTTTTAATGCTATTTGACATTAAACATTGCATCTGAATATTATTAATATTTTTTATTAGAAAAATCTATTTCCTTATTAGTGACTTGATCATTCGTTATTAATGATTTTTAATATCTTTATTAAAAGCTTGATGTCATTTATAATGTTGAAGTCAGACATTTTTACATTGATGTTTTGTGTTTATTTTCAACGAAATACTTTTCGTTATCATTGACGGTTATTTCTACAACAAAGTCCTTGAATAATAAGAAAATACATGTTCATTACATAAGGCCTCCGTAATGATATTTTACAACTGTTACATAAAATACATGTTCATTACGTAAGACTTCCGTAATGATATTTTACAGCTTTTACATAAAATACATGTTCATTACGTAAAGGTTATGAAACGAAGGTAATTTCTTACAAAACAGTTAAATTGAAGTGTTACGTAGGATTTCCCTAATGACTTAACATATTATGTAACTTTGAATATTCATTATGTAAAAGGACCATCTATTACTAAGGCTTCCATAATGACAATTTACAACTGTTACGTAAATATACATCTATTACGTAAAGGTTACCAAATGACGGTTATTTCTTGCGTAACAGTTAAATTAGAAGTGTTATGTAAACATTTCGTAATGATTGAACATATTACATAACGCAAGGTTAATGCCATTTAACAACTATTACATAAGATAAGCACATATATATTATGCAACTATTATGTAATGCTTATTATATTTTACGCAATGCGACTTGTGAAAACCTATTATATATCTGTTAAAAAGAAATCAAGTTACAATTCCGTTAAAGTTTAGTAGAAATTTGGAATTTTCGATAAATTGTTGTCGCGGTAAACCAACAACGACAGTAAATACTATATTGGTATGTTAGACACTCAAGTTTATGTCGTCGATGAGACAACGATTAGGCCATGATCACTAGCCGGATGCTGCTTTCAACTCATCAATCTCCCCACACGCATCTTCCAGTTGCACTTTCAGCTCCGCTATCTCCATCCGCAGCTCCGCCACTATCTCATCAGCTTGCAGACACTCATCACTGGCCACCGCCGCCTCCCTTGCCCTGGGATTTCAGCTTCTGGATCTCATCATCTTTAGCCTTCATCTTCTCCTCATAAGACGCTCTCAGCTTCTGCATCTGCCTGTCTTTGGCACTCATATTCGCCGCATTAGACGCTCTCAGCTGCCGGATCTCGACGTCTTTAGCACTCACATTCGCCGCGTTAGACGCTCTCAGCTGCCGGATCTCACCTTCTTTGGACGCCATCTTCTCGTCGTACGACTCCCAGGCCGCGAACTCGAACCGGTGAATGCCTTGGCCGTCGTTGGAGTAAGCTCAAGCGACCCCGTTGATATCGTCGTTGTAGCCCTGGTTGAAGAATGTCCGCACGTGCAGGAGCCCGACTGTGTTGGGCTCGCCCTATTAAGTGAAGAAGAAGAAGAAGAAGATGCTCTGCAGCAGAAGTGAACTAGAAAAGCATAGCAACATCACGTTTGAAGAAGAAGAAACCTCACCTAGAAACGGAAACATTTCTGGGTTCCCTTCCATCCAGCACAAGTGAAGGAACGAGACAACGTCGTTGTGAAGTTCTGGAACTTACCGTTTGGCGGAATCAGTTATGACAAATGGGACTGTGCCAAGTGGCTTTACCTTTACTGTAATTTTAAATTTCAGTTTTCCATTTCTACTGTTTATGTATCGTAAACCAGACTCTTCTTCTTCGTTGGTATAAATTGAAAGCCAGAGAGAACCCTTCTCTTTGCGCGTTTCCCATTTTCATCGTGCCGTCGTTTTCTCCGCTTACCCTAGCTCCAAGCTAGTTTTCACATGGTATCAGAGCGGTTCCTGATCCAGTAACCTGCAGAAATGGCGACGACATCACCAGCTAGTACGTCTCCGAATACACCTCAAGGTGGTATTCCCTTCGGCAGCTTCACTGGGATGGAATCAGGGACGATGAGCACTCCCACCTCCAAAAACAACAACAACAACAACAACCACGATCGTTCAGATCTACAATTTGGTAACCCATTCTACATTAACCCAAATGAAAACATTACTCAAGCAATTGTTTCTGAGGTTCTTGATGGCTCGAATTATCAAATGTGGCAAAGAGCAGTTCGAATAGCGCTCAAAACGAAAACATAAGATTGGAGAACAATTAGCTAAGGAGGAATGCTACAGATTGAAGAACAAGAAGCTGAGAATGGCTGGGGTGTAGCTGCAGCAGTCATACCAGGAGAATCTTCCACTGAGAGTGACACAGCTAGTTCAGATTCCAAGCTAAGCACTGACTCCCGCAGTGTATCCTCAAAGGATGGTTTTAGCTTCTCTACTGAGGAACTGAACAAGCTTAAGTACTTGCTCCAGAGTGTCCCTTCTCATCGACCATCACCACCTGCTTCTCCTTCCATCAATCACTTGGCATTTCTGTTTCCAATAGCACTTCTCCATTCCCTACTTACATTCTTTCCTCATACATTCTTTCCTCATACATTCAGCAAAAGAATGATTCTTTTTCACACTCCTGGATATTGGATACTGGGGCATCTGATCATATTGCCTGCAATCTTAGTTTGTTTACTGAATCTGTTCCAGTAAAAGATCAGTTTGTTTATCTGCCAAATGGTACCCAAGTAGTTGTTAGCCATATAGGTAAGGTCCAACTTTCCCCTGACCTGACCCTAGAGAATGTTCTCCTAGTGCCTAGATTCACATTCAACCTTATCTCAGTGAGCAAATTAACAAATGACCAGCCAATATCCTTACACTTTGAATATTATTCTTGTCAAATTCAGGTACTGGTGACCCAGAAAAGGACTAGTTTGGAAAGACAGAGTAATGGACTATACCAAATTCACACCAAGGCCAAAGCACCTCTTCTTCCCACACCACAAGCAGCCACTTCTTACAACTTTCAACCACAAAACATTCACCTTTGGCACTGGAGATTAGGGCATCCTGGCAAAGACAAAGAGAAGCACCTGTTACCTAGTGATGAGAATGTAGTTTCCCACTGTCAGACTTGTCACTTTGCTAAACATAAAAGACTTCCTTTTCCTGTTAGTAATAGTAGAGCAGTGGATGTTTTTGATTTGGTACATGTAGACATTTGGGGACCATTGGCAGTTAAATCTCATGAAGGATACTCTTACTTTCTTACAATTGTGGATGACTGTTCTAGAGCTGTCTGGGTGTTTTTAATGAAGTTCAAGTCTGAAGCTAGTCATTTACTACAAAGCTTCTGTATCATGGTTGAAAGGCAGTTCTCAAAATCTGTCAAAGTTATCAGAAGTGATCAGAGGTCAGAATTTCATTTAGCAGAATTTTACACAGATAGAGAAATTATACAACAACAATCTTGTGTTGAAACCCCTGAGCAAAATGCTCGTGTTGAGAGGAAGCATCAGCATATCCTCAATGTGGCTAGATCACTTCGTTTTCAATCTGGTATCCTCCTCAGATTTTGGAGTGACTGTGTTCTTCATGCTGTTTATCTAATTAACAGACTTCCTAGTTCAGTTCTTGATAATAAATCACCATATGAAATTCTCTACAATAAACCTCCTACACTTGCCAACTTAAAGGTTTTTGGATCTCTTTGTTATGCCTCTACTCTTCACAGAGATAGGACCAAGTTTGATCCAAGGGGCAGGCAATGTATCTACCTTGGATTCCCCACTGGAATCAAAGGTTTCAAACTGTTTGATCTTAACTCTCATTCCTTCTTTGTTTCAAGGGATGTGATATTTTATGAATCCATTCTTCCCTTTCTCACTTCCAATTCTGATTCCACTTCTTTTCCTGAACCAATCACATCTCCACTACCTTCTAATCCTCTTGTTCATCAGCCTGCAAACTCCACTCCTTCTGTCCCAGCTTCTGCTGCTGACATAGCTTCCTGTTCCACACGTATTTCCACTCCTTTTCCTAGTCCTTCTACCTCAACTTACCCTTCTGCTCCTATTTCCACTCCTTTTCCTAGTCCTTCCTCTACTACTAGCTCTTCTAATGGTGGTTCACCCATCAGTTTGCAGTCTGAGGGGGAGGATATGGAGATAGAGTGTTTCCTGAGGACACTTTGTCTAATGAGGATGAATTCCTAAGAAAGTCCACCAGGAACCGCACTGTCCCAGTTTGGCACAAGGACTACCATGTGAGTATGACTGCCACATCATCTAATAAACACCATATCTGTCACATAGTTGGCTATGATCATCTCACTGATTCTCAAAAAGCCTTTGCTTTGAGTGTTCTATCTGTTGAAGAACCAACCTCATATGCTGAGGCATGTAAAGAGTAAAGACCCTCGTTGGTTGCAGGCATGTAAGGAGGAAATCTTTGCACTATATGAGAACCAAACTTGGGAAGTGGTTAAGCTTCCTGCAGGTAAAAGGCCAATTGGGGCTAAATGGGTGTTTAAGGTGAAGTATAGGTTTGATGGAGCAATTGAAAGATTCAAGGCACGTCTGGTGACTAAGAGGTATACCCAGATTTATGAAATTGACTTCTTGGACACCTATTCTCCAGTGGCCAAGATAAATTCAGTGAAGACTTTGTTGGCAGTTGCTGCTGCTAAAGACTGACACTGGTTCTTAGATGAGGAAGTATATCTTGAAATTCCTCCCGGAGTTGATGTTCCCAAACAACCAGGTTTGGTGTTTAAACTTAAGAAATCCTTGTATGGTCTTAAACAGGCAAGCAGGCAATGGTTCTCTAAACTTGCCAATGCTTTGTTAAAGACTGTTTACTCACAAACTGCATCTGACTACTCAATGTTTGTGAGGTGGATACAGGGAAGAGTAGTAGTAGTGCTTGTTTATGTCGATGACATATTGATTGCAGGAAGTTATTTGGGAGATATTCAGCAACTCAAGACCTTTTTAAATAAGGAATTCAAAGTGAAAGATTTGGGCCAGATGAACTATTTCATAGGATTAGAAGTCATTAGACATCACAAAGGAATCTCTGTCTCTCAAAGGAAGTATTGTTTAGAGTTGCTTGATGACACTGGTTTTGTGGAAGCCAAAGGCTGTTTATCTCTAGTGGATTGCAATGTTAAATTTTCTGCAGAACAGGGTGAATTGCTGTCTCATCCAGGTATCTACAGGAGGCTAATAGGGAGACTTCACTATCTCACCATTACAAGACCAGATATCCCTTATGCAGTACAACAACTCGCCCAGTTTCAATCAGCACCCTGCGTTGGGCATTTGCAAGCTGCGCATAGAGTTATCAGGTATCTGAAACAGACTCTTGGGCAAGGATTGATATTCAGAGCAGACTTAAAGCTTGAGCTTTCTGGATATTGTGACGCTGACTAGGCGAGTTGCCCTGACTCGAGAAGATCCCTTACTGGCTACTACACTTTCTTAGGGTCTTCTCTGATCACTTGGAAGACCAAGAAACAAACTACAGTCTCTAGGTCATCCTCAGAGGCAGAATACAGGGCTCTTGCTCAAGTTGTCTGTGAAGTTCAATGGTTGCGAAACTTGCTTACATAGATGGGAATCAAGGTACCATTGCCCATCCCTCTATTTTGTGATAATAAGTCTGCTTTACACATCGCTGAATATCCAGTTTTTCACGAGAGAACAAAGCACATTGAGATTGATTGCCATGTTACAAGAGAAAGGCTGAAATCATGGCTAATCAAATTGCTTCATGTGAGAACTGATGAGCAGACTTATTCACGAAAGGCATGACACGCTATAGATTGAGTTTTTTGTTAGACAAGCTAGGAGTTCATAATGCCTACTCGCCAGCTTGTGGGGAAGTATTAAGTGAAGAAGAAGATGCTCTGCAACAAAAGTGAAATGGAAAAGCAGAGCAGCATCACGTTTGAAGAAGAAAAAACCTCACCCAGAAACGGAAACGTTTCTGGGTTCCCTTCCATCCAGCACAAGTGAAAGAACGAGACGACGCCGTTGTAAAGTTCTGGAACTTACCGTTGGATGGAATCAGTTATGACGAATGGGACTGTGCCAAGTGGCTTTACCTTTACTGTAATTTTAAATTTTAGTTTTCCATCTCTACTGTTTATGTATCGTAAACCAGACTCTTCTTCTTCGTTGGTATAAATTGAAAGCCAGAGAGAACCCTTCTCTTTGCGTGTTTCCCATTTTCATCGTGCCGTCGTTTTCTCCGCTTACCCTAACTTCAAGCTAGTTTTCACACGCCCGGCGGGAAGATGGGCCGGAAGATAGGGTGGAGGTGGACCGGCCGTGCTCTCGTCCGGCCCGTTGGCGGTGGCGGAGATCCAGGACACGCCGTACTTGCTGTCGAGCTGCACGAACTTGTTGTTGTGGCAGCAGCGGAGGTGGATCAGATGGGCCGGGTCGGATCCGGACGGGACTACCTCCAGCTTCACGAACTGGCTGAGCGGGTCCAGGAGTCGCATGCATCCCAGGTCGTTGACGTACGGCCCGAAGGAGTGGTCGTTCCAGAGGTAGTGCAGGTATTTCCCGTCGGACTTGGATTTCAGCACCATGAATTTCGGCAATCCGGCCACCGTCGACATCTCTCTCTCGATCTCGGATGGATGGATTGCTTTCTCTTTTTTTACAACTTCTCGAGTGGAGACTTTTTCTGTGTTGAGTAATGAGTATAAAGCTTTGAAGGGTAACGAAGTCAATGCCGAAAGTCGTTGGGTAATAGCACAAACAACAAGTGGTAGCCGGTAGGTAAATTGCCTTAGTCTTCTTTTCTTTATTAAATGTGAGAAAGGGAGAGAAAGAAGTTACAAAACTAAAGAGCAGAGAAACAAGGTTTTTCATTAGCTCGACCCTGAAGAAGAAGATTAGGAGCGTTCAATGAAATAATCCACCGTAGAGATCCCCTATTCTTCTCCTTCTTCCTCCTTCTACTTTATGAACAAATTTTCTTTGTTGTTTGGGTGAGATTAACTCTAAATATACTAATTTGGTTTGATTAATATAGACATCAGTGTTTTTTCTAGGCTTAATACCCTAGTATGGCCCGAAGTTTGGCACAAGTGACAGTTCTGGCCTCATTTTTCAAATAAGACATTTATGACCTACTTTTGAAATTATTGGACAAATTTGGCCCAAAATTTTCTTTGACCGTTAACATTAACGGTCAAACACGATTTCGTTAGTGACTCAGCAAAAAACAGATGAAGTGGCATGCCATATCATTAAATAATATTATTTTAATTTTATAATACAATTAAAATACAAATTAAAAAATTAAGAAGAAAAAAAACTCTAAATTAAAACAACCTCTTCGTATTAACAAGAGGGAGTCGCCTCCTCCTCCAACAACCACCATTCTGCAGCCTCTCCCTTCCTTCCCAAAACCCCAACCACTACAATTTCTTCTTCTTCTTCCATTACATTCTAACTTTCCCATCCACCGATTCTTCTTTCCTTCAAGAGAAGCCATCCAAAAATTAAAGAAATTCCAAATGAAACCCTAAACACATGGGCGCTGCTCAGGGGAAAAGAGAAAAATTCATGAAGATCCGCCACCTGTGGAGCCCAAGTTTCACCACTTCCGACTATGAATCCACCCACTGTGCTTGATCAGCGACGCTAGGAGATCCTCCGCCGGAATCGAGACGGCGGCGCCGCCACTGCGGGACTTTCTGAAACTCGGAGCTCCGCTGCTCGGAGCGAGGTCGACCATCTCCACAGCCTGAACCTCACATTCCTGCCAGTTGAGAGCCTCGAGATCTTGCTTGACTTGGTCGTTCGACGGTAAGAAATTACTGCCCCGCTACTGGAAGAACTCGCCCTTTTTTTTTAAATCAATCTTCGCCGAATAAAAGGCAGGAGAAGGTGAAATTAGTTAATGGGTTCCCTATCACAAGGCGAAAAAATTGATGGGAAGCATCACAGATCGATGGGTCCTCATCATTGGGGTTCGGGTCAGAGGTACGGCGACAAGGGCGATCAAAACCACCTCTCCGGACATACATAGGTGGGTTCTCACTTCCGGCAGCAATGGTGGAAGGAGTGACGAGGAAAAGAAAGAGAGGGGTGAATGGATAGAAAAATGAATGGTGGGAGCGTGGCGGAGGAAGTGGTGGGAGCGGCGTCGCGGTGCTCCTCGGAGAAGTCATTAACGGAATTGTGTTTGACTATTAATATTAACGATTAAAGAAAATTTTGGGCAAAATTTGTCCAATAGTTTCAAAACTAGGCCACAAATGTCTTATTTTAAAAATGGGGCCAGTTGTCAATTGATGTTGGTATTTTGATTGCTTATATGTTTTCCTATTATCTATTTCTATTTTGTCTTTTGTAGTGGCACTAGAAAAAGGCGATCACTAACCCACCAACTTTATAAATTAGATTAACTAATATTACAAATCCATTCTACGAAGAATACGAACTAGGCCAAGAAACATTACAATGAGAAATAAGAAACATTACAAGTCATTAGTATTTACAAGTTATTCTTACAAACATTAAAACCAAATTTATAATTATTATAGGCAAAATTGATGTGTGTAGCCAAAACTTTGACATTTATGGCAATAATAGTCACTTTTGGAAAAATACCAATAATACACAGAATTTTGAAAATTTGATAACATCGTTAGTCAAATTAACGGAAAGCTTACCTGGCCACCAACACACACTCTCTATCGTTTCCACCTCAGCATTCAGCGACAAGTGGATGACACGTTATTTACAAAAGTATTTTTTTAACTCTACCCAAATCTAAAAAAAATATAAAAAAACCCCATCCCCTTCCCAATCTCATATGCTCGTCTTCCCACCTCTCTCCATATCTTCCTCTTCTCGATGACCTAGAGCGTCGAGGGCTGTTCACCCCCCGGGAGATCGTCGAGATTGTCAAGCAGAGGCGGAAATTCGAGTACAGATTGAAGCACCCGAGTCCTCTAAAGCAGGACTAGCTATTTGACCTACATAGAGTACGAGACTCAGCTTGACAAGCTTCGCCGCCTTCGCAAGAAATCCATGGCCCGGGACATCGATAAGAATAAGGATGACAAGAGGATGAAGCTCTCGGTCTCTGACTTCGTCGGAGTGTCGAGCAGTGGCGGAGGTAGCAGTTCAAACCACTCCTGTCCTCTTCTCATAATGTAAATATATAAGTATTTAATTAAGAATTATTTAATAAAAATTAATTATACTTAATTATATCATATTAATTCATTCATAGATTAAAAATAATCGACTATACAACCATTGTTTTCATTAATAACCATGAAGGGATTTCATATTGTGAAAGAACCGCAAAAATATTATAGCTGGCAAATAGCAGAGCAACCGCCCAGCTTCATCGTTTCATCTTACCCGCCATCGTCTGAGGGTTTCGATCTAAAGACCAGAACCCAGTAAGAGAAAAGGCTGAAATCGACTAGCCAGAGCTTTTACCTCCATCCGCGCCGCTTATGTTCTTAAAGTCCCCAAATCTCCATGTCGTCGATCCCAATCCCAAAAGTCCATCTCTTTTCCAAATCCCTAGTCGCATAACAGAATCGCCATTCCCGACGACGATTGGTGCTGTGAGGTTCCCATTTTCGATTATTCAGGGTAGTTCTGGGTTTTGCAGTGCCATTCCCGATCTTATTCTCCCAACTTGGCTGCGATAGGAGATGAGAAATTCCTAAGAATCTTGGTTTGTCCAGCTTGCGGCTGCTGCGTACATGGTCCTCGGAGCAAGAATTCGAAGGCGAAAGATGAGGCGGAGGGGAAGGAGGAGGCAGTGGAGGAGTGGAATCGGAAGATGTGGCGGCGGCTCTAGTAGTGTTGGAGCCGTCGACTAGAGAAGTTTTTTGTTTTATTTATTTATTTGTTTTTATCTTTCATAAATCAAAAGGTCCAGCCTTTTGAAAATTTTAAATTTTAAATTTTAATTCTTATTATATTATATTATTTTTTAATTAAATTCACGTGGGAAATACGTATGGGACAAAATCGATTGAACGATACGTTAATCCAGTCAGCACACTAACTCACACTGTCAAATAATTGGACGGAAGTGGCTATTTTTTCTATTTTGCCAAAAGTGACTATATTTGGCCAAACCGTCAATATTTTAGCTACACAGTTGTATTTTGCCATTATTATAAACTGATTGACAAATATAATGAAGCGTGAATCGCTAATATTAAAAACCAATTTTACAAAACATTACAAACAAGACTAAGAAAACATTACAAATTTTTTATAAGATTACATATAAGACTAAGAAAATATTAAAAAATTATTCTTAACATATGTTTATGTGACTTGAATCGGACTATCAGCCGCTACGACTGGTAATCGACTAGCCAGAGCTTTTACCTCCTTCCGCGCCCATGGACATAGCTAACACACATCGTGTTAGTGAACCACGTAAATCATGTGTCTGTGTTTTTCGATTCTCGCTTTCGTATTCTTGCTTTATCGATTCCGGCGAATTCCCGATACGTAGCAGCACGTTTATAACAAGTGGTATCAGAGCCGCGGCTGGAAATCAGGCTAGGGTTTTCGATTCAGAAGAATGACGTCGGTGAACATGAAGATCAAAAAGTTCACGGGGAAGAACAGCTTCGCTATATGGCAGATCAAGATGCAGGCTTTATTAAAACAGCAAGGGCTGTGGGGGCCGCTGTCTGTGAAACAGAAAAAGGCAGTGGTCGATGACGATGAGTGGAATACCCTGAAGGAGAAGGCCCACTCGACCATCATGCTATCGTTGTCTGATGACGTCATCATTGAAGTCGTTGCTGCGAAGACTGTCGCGGGCTTGTGGTTGAAACTAGAGAGTCTGTAAATGACTAAGTCTCTAACCAACAAGCTGCATCTCAAGCAACGGTTGTTTAGCTTGAGGATGCAAGAAGGTACGCCTTTGAGGGAACACCTCGAACAGCTTAACTCTATTTTGCTGGATCTGCGTAATATAGACGTTCAAGTTGATGACGAGGATGCTGCCCTAATCCTACTGGTTTCTTTGCCGAGTTCATATGAGAATTTCGTTGATTCTTTTATTGCTGGTAAAGAAAGCGTGTCGTTGGAGGATGTCAGGTCTGCTCTTCATACGAGAGAGATCAGGCATAAGGCGTCCGGATCTGGTACAGGTGGTGAGGCATCGGGTTTGGCTGTTACAGGTGGAAAGGGAAAGAAGAAATCTGGTAAAGGGAATTCGAGCAAGAATTCCAAGGGTCCCGGTCCGCAGCCAGGTGATGCTTGTCACAACTGTAAGGAAGTGGGGCATTAGAAGTACAACTGTCCCAAGAGAAGAGGGAAACAGAAGAAACAAGGTTCAGTTGTCGTGGCAGAAGTGGACAACAGTTCTGAAGACGATCTCGCATTGGATGTAGATGAGAAGGCACATCGTGGGGATGTGTGGTTTCTGGATACTGCAGCCTCATACCATATGTCTCCGAATAGGGATTGCTTTACAACCTACGAGCAGATAGATGGTGGTAACGTGGTCATGGCACATGGAGCTGTCTGCAAGGTTGTTGGAATCGGGTCCATAAAGGTTCGGACACATGATGGTTTGTTCTGTACCGTGAATGATGTCAGGCATGTTCCACGAATGACAAAGAACCTGATATCGTTGAGTCTACTCGACAACAAGGGTTTCAGCTTCAAAGGAAAAGGTGGAGTTGTGTATGTCTGCAAAGGAAAAGGTACCGAAGGGCGTGAAGCGTGGGACCTTGTATGCATTACAAGGGTCTGTGTTGTCCGGTTCTGCTGCAGTTGCATCGTCTCAGGTTCATTAGGAAGATATGACCACTCTCTGGCACATGAGACTGGGCATGTGAGTGAACGAGGGATGCAAGTTCTGTCGAAGAGGGATCTTCTTTGCGGGCACAAGGTGCAGAATTTGGAATTCTGTGTGCATTTTGTGTTTGGGAAGCTATATCGCAGCAAGTTTCCCAAGAAGGGTATCCACCGGACGAAGGGGATACTGGATTACCTCCACTCCGACTGTTGGGGTCCTTCACGAGTTGAATCCATTGGAGGCATCAGGTATTTTCTGTCTATTATTGATGATTATTCGAGATTTACTTGGATTTTCATGATGAAGCAGAAAAGTGAGGCTTTCACGAAGTTCAAGCATTGAAAGACATTGGTGGAGAATCAGACTAGGAAGAAGATCAAGAAGCTGCGAACGGACAATGGTCTAGAGTTCTGTAATTCTGAGTTCAACGAATTCTGCAAGGATAAAGGGATTGCCCGTCATCGGACCGTGAGAGATACACCCCAACAGAATGGCGTTGGAGAAAGGATGAACCAGACATTATTGAAGACTCATTATGAGGTGTGGTATGGTAAGCCTACTGATTACTATTCACTGAAAGTTTTTGGGTGTCCTGTTTATTATCATGTGGATGAGGGTAAACTGAACCCAAGGGCAAAGAAGGGTGTATTTGTGGGTTATGCAGATGGAGTTAAGGAATTACGAGTCTGGTCACCTTCTGAGCATCGAGTTATACTCAGTTGAAATGTGATATTTGATGAGAAGTCTATGTTTAACCCCATGTTGAAGGTTACTGTTGTTGAAGGTAGCAGGAATGTTGATAAACAGGTGGAGCTGCAAACTCTCAACGAGAGTGAGTTTGGGCACCAAGGTGGAGAAGATCAACATGGTGAGGATGTCTCTGCAGAGCCAGAAACTTCGGGGTCCAGTGCACGAGCTAAACAGTGTATTCCTTCCAGTAGACCGAAGAGAGCGACTGCAGGAGTACCTCCACAGAGGTATGGCTTCGAGGACATGGTGGCGTATTCATTTCAGGTTGCTGAGGAAGTGGATGCAGGAGAGCCACAGTCCTATGGAGAAGCAGTTTCGGGTGGTGAAGCTGATCAGTGGCTTGCCGCAATGGGAGATGAGACGAAATCCCATGACAGGAATCAGACTTGGGAGCTAGTCATACGACCACAGGGAAGGAAAATTGTGACAAACAAGTGGATCTACAAGAAGAAGGAAGGAATCACTTCTAAAGAGGGCATGAAATTTAAATCTCGGGTGGTTGCACGAGGCTTCTCGCAGAGGGAAGGAGTTGACTACAATGAGATTTTCTCACCAGTGGTCAGACGTACTTCGATCAGAGTGCTACTAGCAATAGTGGCACATTATGACTTGGAGCTCGAGCAGCTAGACACGAAGACAGCTTTCCTGCATAGAGAGTTAGAAGAAGAAGTTTACATGACTCAGGCAGAAGGATTCGAGGTTCCGAGAAAAGAAGACTATGTTTGTAAGCTGAAAAAGTCCTTGTATGGACTTAAGCAGTCTCCGAGGCAGTGGTACAAGAGATTTGACAATTACATGCTTGAGCTGGGCTACAACAGAAGTCCATATGATTGTTGTGTGTATCACAACAAGGTGGAGGATGGTTCGATGATCTATCTTGTTCTGTATGTGGATGATATGCTCATAGCTGCGAGGTCGAAGTCTGATATCCAGAAGTTAAAGGGGCTTCTCAGTGCTGAGTTTGAGATGAAGGATTTGGGAGCTGCTCAGAAGATCTTGGGTATGGAGATTTACAGGGACAGGTCGAAGAAGAAGCTTTTCTTGTCACAGAAGAGCTACATCCAGAAGATTCTGTCGAGGTTTGGCATGTCTTCAGCAAAGCCCTTAAATACTCCTACTGCTTCAAATGTTCATCTATCCTCAGCTTATGCACCGCAGTCAGAGACTGAGAAGGAGTACATGTCGAGAGTCCCATATGCTAGTGCAGTAGGTAGCTTGATGTACGCTATGGTATGCACTAGACCTGATCTTGCACATGTTGTTAAGGTTGTCAGCAGATTTATGATACAACCTGGGAAGGAGCATTGGCAGGCTATGAAGAGGATCTTCCGGTACCTTAAGGGTACACCTGATGTGGGGATTAGCTTCGGAAGTGATACAGAGTGCTTGGTGTCTGGGTATTCTTACTCGGACTATGCTGGAGATGTTGACACGAGGAGATCGATGACCGGTTATGTATTCACTCTTGGGAGTTCTGTAGTGAGCTGGAAGGCAACTCTGCAGTCAGCGGTGACATTGTCTACTACGGAGGCAGAGTATATGGCGTTGACAGAAGCTTCTAAGGGGGGAATATGGTTGAAGGGACTGGTTGGTGATCTTGGTCTACATCATGATCAGGCAGTGGTGTATTGCGTCAGTTTGAGTGTAATATGTTTGGCCAAGGATCAAGTCCACCATGAGAGGACTAAACACATCGACGTGAGGTATCATTTCTTGAGGACAGAGAAGAGGATTAAGTTGAAGAAGGTTGGCACCGCGGATAATCCTGCTGATATGTTCACAAAGCCGGTTCCACATGGCAAGTTCCAACACTGCTTGGACTTGCTTAATGTCTTGAGTGGGTGACTCCGCCCTACAGGGGCATTGATGGCGGGAGAAAGAGAAGGAGCAGAGTACATCAGAGATTTCAGAGGAAGAAGATTCAAGTCAAGGTGGAGATTTGTTGATGTGACTTGAATTGGACTATCAGCCGCTACGACTGGTAATCGTGTTAGTGAACCACGTAAATCGTATGTCTGTGTTTTTCGATTCTCGCTTTCGTATTCTTGCTTTATCGATTCCGGCGAATTCCCGATCTATAGCAGCGCGTTTATAACAATATATATTGCAAATCAAAGTGAAACAAACCGAAAACTCGGCGGCTAGTAGCGTGCGCACGAACGATATCACCCTCGCTAAACTAGTCTCGGTACATGAACCCAAACTTGTATCTATCAACCACATAAACAAAGAAGAATGGTGTGTTGGTATCAAAGCGATGTGTCCTAGCAACAGGAA